TTAATCCTGCTAACCAAAACTATGAAGAGGACAACTAATGCAAGTGTCTACTTAATGGCCATTAGGCAAAGTAGAGAAATGTAGATAAACATTTACAGTGTGAAAGACTCTGTTGAGAGATTATGAATTTATCTTTTTGACAAAACCTCTGGTCCTGAATGGGAAGTGACTTTTGGAGCACACTTGTAACATCTTCAGTTATGCATCAGCATTTGCGTTTATATTAGATGTGCGTTGATGGTACAAGAATATGAAAGTTCATTAAACATGACGTGATGGAGAAAGTTCCCTTTTAATGCAGGTGTATGCTGAATACGGTAATACACTCTCAGGAAAAAAAAAAAGGTACCAAGCTGCCTTTTTAAGGGTACTTCCCCAGAATCATGCTGTTGTGCCCCTAAAGGTACAACCATTGCCCATTTTTTCCAACCTTGTACAGTAACTCTAGATGTATCCAAAATTTAAATTCTATCATAATTTAGTCATCAAACACAAAAGGAGATGTTAAGTAAGATGTTCACGCTGCTCTTTTCCATGCAAATGTGAGACACATGAGAAGAAAAAAAAAACGGCATCATAGACTTAAATCTGGGTTTGATGTGGCATGTTTGAATATACATAAACATGAATGAGGTTTGAGAACTGCATGGGGGATAGATTATCAGTGAATAGCATCTTAAATTTAGGTTTTTTGCTCTTGCAAAGCTATTGCATACTTTAGCCTCAGAAGACCCACTTTCATATGGCCCACTTTTCTGGTGCATTTGGACATTTTTGGAGTTTGACAACCCCTGGTCACCTTCTAATTTCACACTGAATGGAAAAGAGCAGTGTAAACTTACTGCTAAACTTGTTTTGAAAGGAAATAGTGAAATGAAATGTTCGAAGTTTGTTTTGTTCGAAACTTTCTGCCACACTTGTTTTGAAAAAATAAAATGTTCAAATGAAATGTTTCATGTTTAATTTGTGTTTTGTTATCATACCAAACTTTCTGCTAAACCTCTTTTGAAAAAAAAAAAAAAAAGAAGTTCAAATCAGATATTTCATTTGTAAATGTTTTCTTTTCTTTTCTGATCGTAATGATAAGTACTCTAGAGTAACCCTGAGTGATATACACTACACTACACACACACATTACACCCCCCTCCCCTTACGTTAATGGACAGGAAGCCTTGCACAAATATGAGGAAAGAGAAGCAAAGACAGAGAGAGTCAGACAGAGAGAGAGAGAAAATAATCTGCTGACAGCTCACAGTTTGAGTCACATGATGTGAAAGAGAACCTGAATAGTGCCACAGTCGCTTTAGCCTGGTGGTTTCCATCTTGCGTCTTTCTCGCATGCACACAGCCTTAAAGAAACCGGTTATGCTCTGCTGAATAAGAGCTCAGCAGTGACGGCCACAGTGTGGTGGGACAGAGCGTGCGCGATGCATTCTGTAGATAACGTACGTTTTCACAAGATTCTGCCTATTGTCATTAGCAGATGTCACATGAGATGATACTCAAAAAAGTCAAGTGTTATGAAGACTAAAAGCTGTATGAGATGTGACAAAGTTCTCTGTCACTTTGGTGGTAATGAGAATAGGGGGTATATATTATAATTGCAATCACCAAAATGCATCTGATGCCTAAGGGGGAAAAAAAACACAAATAACCATTTGAGGTTAAATGTATTTACATTTATTCAGCTGATTTAAAAGCATTAACAAATTGACTCATCGATGGATTTTACTAGAGAAATACAGAAAAAAATTATGAAATATGTATGACGACACCAAAAATAAAATATATTTATAAAAGCTGGTTACAGTAATTCAAATAATATAAATAATGATACATATCAATTTCGCTTGAACACGTGAAAACAAAACCAGTATTTTATGCCAACAAAAAAATCTGTACTTATATACCTTAAACTATAAAAGGTACATTAAGAATATTAATTGACTAGCATATAGTGTGAAGTGCACATGCATCTAAATAGTCTTAACAACAAATAGCCTTCAAGGAATGTAAAATAGTAGGCCTATTCATTTAGACTCCACACTGGTTTGTTAACCTTCACACATCCTTACCACAGCTTGAGAGTGCTATAGCCAGAAAATCGAGAGGCAGTTTTAACATTAAGTGACATGACATCTGACGCACTGATGCCATTGGCACATGCCACTATGCTCAGTGACACTTCCGGTTTTCAGTGGCATGTGTCACAAGTTTTAGTGACACTTTTAGTGACACATGCCAATGAAAATCGGACAGTTCAGCTGTGTCATTTGGACAGCCGGTTTTCAGTGGCATGTGTCAGTAAAACTTGTGACATGTGCCGATGGACTTGTGTCACTGACATTGTCACGATCATGTCGCAGTATGTTGCCTCCAGTTGTGACTGGCAGATGAGTTGAGCAGCTGTAATTGTAACACAAAAATCCTAAATAAAAAGCTGAATTTAGTGATTTTTAAATAAATGTCCATTAAACGTATTTACAAGTTTATTATATGTTTTTCAAACATGACGTCAGTGTGTGGCACATCTGCAGTGTTCGAACTATACCGTGGACTTTGGGGGAGCCCACTTGTTTTGTTTTTTTAA